GGTATACCAACCACACCTGTAGCCACAAATCATGCCCCAAAGCATGGAGTTTAAGATTAAGCATGGGTCTGAGTTCAAGTTCCAGCTCTGGCACTTATTAACTTCGTGAGCTTGGGAAAGTCAAGGAGGAAGCTCTCTGAGCCCCCATATCATTTTCTAGACAATAGGAAGAAATTCATGCTTGCAGAAGGCTCCCATAAAGATGGAATGGCCTAAGGGCCATAAATGGGATCTGGGCAGTTGACAAACCTGAATGGCTCTCAGTGTCTAGAAAGCGAAAAAGGAAGTTTTAAACTGAGTCCATGACCACTCCCACAATGCATCTGGGTCTTGAGCACCCACCTCCCCTTTCAGAGGAAAAAAAAGAGGTGCCTCAGCATGTCTCACGGATGGCTATGTAGAGGTCTCACGCCAGCATTTGTCCCCATTGAGCAAGGGGCAGATAAAAGGACCTGGAAATTCAAATTCTCTCAGTTTCAACTCACCCCTCAGAATCCATAAATCACTGTATCGTTTACTTCACTTGTGGACATCCAGGTACCTTGATTATTCTCCAACACCAACAAGAGCTTTAGGGTAGGGGGCCCTAGAGACACCAGGGGGCCCCTCTGTCCCTCTTCCTGAAAGTCAATGGAAGGTTGAGGGAAAGCTCTTCAATTCAGCCACTTTTCTCAGGAAAGAAAAAAAGGGAGGAGGTGGGGGGAAGGAGGGAGGCAAGCCAGGGAGGAGGGGGTAATGGCTTAGCCACTAATTGCACCATTACCACCTTCAGAAAAGGAAAAACCACTCCGTTTTGTTTCTGCGCACAATATGCTTCCCGCTTCTGCCGCCAACGTGGCAATTCGGAGGCAGAGCAGAGAGGCCTGTGCTCACAGGGCTGCACAGCTGGTGGGTAGCAAGCAGGCACAGAACACCGTGGCCAAGGCTAGAGGCACCAGAGGAAGGCAGAGGTGGGGTAGAGCTGTATTTCCATCCTCCTGCCTCAGATTCGTGTGTCAGTGGTTCTCGGCCCTCCTAATGCTGTGACTCTTTAATATAGTTCTTCATGTGGTGGTGACCCTCCACCACAAAATTATTTCATTGCTACTTCCTAACTGGAATTTTGCTACTGTCATGGATCAGAATGTAAATGCCTGTGATTTCCAATGGTCTTAGGCGACTCCTGTGAAAGGATCGTCTGACCCTCAAAGTAGTCGTGAGCCAAGGCTTAAGAACCACTGTTCTAGCCAGGTCCCAGGAGTCAGTCACTCCCCAGGGGAAACAGTGTTGATCAATTATTCGTGGTTATACGACTTGCAGGTTGTGAGTTTTGAGTCGATGTCTAGACTTCTCTGGACCTCTTCAAGTGCAAAATTGGGTAACGTTGCTCCTCACCTGCAAGGCTGTTTTGTGGCTTAAATGAGATGAACACAGCGGCTGACACAGGAGTGATTATTATTAAGGAGCTAGAAATCCTTTCTTTTTCCTCCCTGAACCACAGAAGCACTTGGGGCACCACTGTTCTCTGAGACCCTGCTGGGGGTTAGCTCATGGTAGACATTGCCTGGTTTTTGCCTTATTTACAGTAATTCCTGCAAAATAAACGTCAAGAACTAAAAAAGAGGTCACTGGGACCCTCACTTATTAGGGCCCAAGGGCATGGCAACTGCTTAAAAATCAGTAGAACACTAAAGGGAATTGCTAAAGCTGTAACCATGGAAATGTAACTCTGCGAACAGAGGTGGCCATCCTCTCGGACGAATGCTGGCCTGGCTACTGCTTCTGTCGCTCCCCTGAGCAGTGTTTGGCTCAGATGCCAGCAAAGCATTTAGAAGAACCCCGGGGAGAGCATGTGAAGGCATGGCCAGCCTGATACCTGCCTGCCTCTGAGAGGGACCACGGGTCCTAACACCACTGTGGTTATCATGTCTGTTTGTTCTTCTGCTTCCAGCTCCCTTTCCTTCCTTTCTCCCTCATGCCCTCCTCCCTGGCACCCTCCCTTCCCTGCCCCTTCTCTCTCGCTGACACCTTTCTCTCCTATGCATGCAGGCCTAGGGGATGGGCAGGTCCCGGGACCTTAGGCCCACCTGATGTAGGAGAACTAGCTGGACAGAAGTAGGCCGTGGAGGTGGGTCATACACCTGCATGGGC